TGAGCAGAAGTATTGCCCTCTATTTTGCTAGCATATTTCAATAGAAATCAATCTGTTTAGTAGTCATAAAAGCAAGGAGCTGATTGTTTGAGGATGGAAGAGTATTCTACCAGTGGCTCAGAAGTTCTTCTGCCGCCGCTTCTTGGCTTCGATGGCATCGAGGATCGGCTGCCGCTTTGACTGGTACTTCTGGCGGATTTCTTCAATCTCCTGCTCCATCATGGGGTCCAGGGCTGAGAGCCTCCTCTGAAGTTCATCAACACTCCAAGTCTTTAGCTAGCAGGGAGACAAAACAACAGACATGGGCATCAGGACAGCCACCATCCACACACCTACAGGGATTCTGCTGCCCGCCTGCAGGTCACAACGCATCTTCCAGTAGGAGAAGGTGGGAGTTCTGCTCCAGACTGCTGCTCTCAATGAGACTGGCATGAGCCTCCGGTTACTGGGCTGCTTCCGCTCCTTTTACAGACACATCACATGCTCCATTCAGTGACAGCATGAGGGCACAGAACCACCAGGGAAACGTTTCCCCCATTGAGTTGTTTTTCTAATGCTCCATTTCGCAGGCTTAGAACAGAAATACTGTACTGAGATGGAACACAAGCAAAGTTCTCTCCCCCTCCCCTTTCCTCACAACTAAACTTCCTTCTGCTAAGTGACAAAAGGAGACAGAACAGGAAGAAAAAAAAAAATCATTGACAAAAGTTGCATTTGGGAAAAAAAAAAAAGATGCACAATCAGGCTGAACCTCAGTCATGGTGAGGAATTCAGCCTCCTCTAAGCTAGAAATCCCAGAACACACACACCAGGTCACTTTGGGTTGCCCTCATACCAATATAATATGCAAGTACAATTTGTATTTTACTGTACACGTGAAGATGTCAGGCTAGTCTGGACAAGCTTCCCTTCATTGAATTCTCTGCCTGCCCTTTGTCTAATTGGCTCTCTTGTGCATGCTGATTTGCTGAGAACTGCTGCAGAAAAGTTCTGTTCTGTGACTAGAGATGCCCAATGTGGCCTGGGACAGTCTAGACTGTCCACAGCTCTACTCTTTATGTAACAATATAATACTATAACCTGCGGAACAGACAGGATTTTAGGATATGGTTAAAAAAATATGGACACTGGATGTGCTTCAGATGTTCACCTAAGCACCAGTCCTTCTCCCATTCAAGCGACCCCCAGAAACACACAGGAGATGCTGCAGCAGGATGGGAATAAGTATTTGCACCACCTGCTTTCAGTGACCACCTGCCGTGCATACTCTGAACATGTAAAATAATTTGGGGTTTTTTTGTGAACAAAGAAGTGTCAATTTTTAGACTTTCAACAAATGTCTGACTTATCTTCACTTCAGTTAAATGCAAATGATGCTGCTGTCCTTGTTTAGCTGTTGACCAGTCAGCTACCATGGTTATTCTTCAAGCCATTTCTGAACCAAAACACACACTGAAATGTTTGCTGCTTATTATAAGGCAACAACTGAATTACTGGCTATTTAATCACAGCTTGCATCAGTCCTTAAAACAGATGTAAATACTAAAATACGGAAATCCTGATCCTTCTTCCTGAGGTGGAAGATACCAGTCCCCAAACCACAAAGTCATCTGCTGGCTGATTTCTCACAAGGACTTTTGAAAATCTTCAGTGTATTCTGCTAAATAAGGTGTTTCCTAGTTGCAGTTACAGGATCACAAATCCACTTTAATAATCTAGGCACATGCAAAACAAAACCTTTCTTGCAAGGGTATGTAGCCTTTCAGCCTCTCCAATCAGGCATCCGTTCATTAGAAAGACAAAGCACTTCTTCCGCAAAGATATACATTATTTATAAACATTAATGCAACTTTACCAGAGAGCAGTTTAAGTTGATGCATGGCACCAGTTGCCTTTTCACACTAATTTATAAATGGAGCAGGTAATTATTCAATATTCCCCTTCCTCACAGTCCAGGGAATTGAACAGTCAAATAAAAATGCGAAAAAGAAGAAAACATTAATTCAAGGACTGAACACATATACTAAGCAGCTATATCGGAGCAAACGGCCGTCAGCTCTCCCAGAGCACCTAGTGCTAGACTACTAAAACAGAGTTTTGGAACAGACCTAAAATACCTCACTCATGGCTTAAGCCAACTATTAGATGTCAGAGGTTGTCCTAGGGCTGCAATCTTCCACGGATGCCCTTTGAGCCTTCTCCACCATCCTCCCAACGGTGGAGCACGGCTTACAGCCAGAAACAACTTGCCAGAGTTGGTGGACCAGAGGGCAGAGCAGATTTACCACGATGGTCTCTCCAGACCCCGAGAACATGGCAGTAGAAAGAAAAAGCTGCCCTGCTAATACCCCTGAACACGATCTAGCATCATGGGGCATCCTCCATGGACACAGACACACAAAGTCTTTCTGCTAACTGTAAGCAACTGCTTGCCCAGAGACACGACGGCTTTGACAATCCCAGGGACTGTGTGTTTGTCAGGCGAGACGGCTCACAGGATGGAAGACGGAAGAGTACAGCTGGAGCAGGCAAGAGCCTACAGATATATAGTAACATGAACAAACTGGGAAGTGGATTACCTGCACAGACGTGTGGTGCAGAACAAAGCAGCCACTTAAGGAGACTGATCACGGGTTAAGCAGAATGGGGACGGTGGGAGAAGGAAGCGAGGCAAGTCGATGCAGCACAAAAACTGAAGAGCACCGAAGCGCAACCTGTGCGCAATGCTGTGTGCTGATGAGGGCGAAGCAATTACAGAGTTTTCATCTGGAATGCAGAGTTTTCATCTCTCCTTTTAGTTCAGCGTAGCTGTGAATGCCACGCTACTCCTAAACAAGGCAGAGAAGCCAAAGGGCAACACTAGTAAAAGGTCCAGAACGTGACTGTGCACCACAGCTGAGCCGACAACCAACAAGAGACTGACAGACGTGCAATTACTAATGAGAGCCGAGCGCCCACGCCGTTGCAGAGGATGCCTAGCCCTCTGCTCCCACTGTGCTTCACACCCACCACCACATGAGCCCAGGGACCTGGGCTGGGCTATTACTCAGCTCGTCCTTCCACTTGCACACACATCTTTACCAGAAAAAAAAAAGAAATTAAAAACAAAGAGAACTGCTTAAAAACGACGGCCTCCATTTCACTTCGCTGCATGGCATTTCACTGTTAGCCAATGCCACAGACAGACTTTGTCCCAGAAATTAAGTTTTAAACTCTAGCATATCCACCTCTGCAGACTCCTGGGATACTGACTGACATTATTTTCTTAGATAAATGCCAGAAGCAAAATAAGAAGGACAATGACAAAGCATCTCATGACAGACGGTTACTCAGGGTAAAGTCTCAGCACTGAACAGCTACAATTAGAGCTGATTTTAGCCACGGGCTCAGTCCCATCCCTCTCCTCACTTCTCCTCAGCAGTTCTGCTGTAAGAAGTCTAAGCGTCTTTGTAAAAGCTGTCTATTTTTGTCCACAGTAATCAAATAGCTAAGACAAACCTTCAAAGGAAGGACTCTCATTTCAAATGTAAAGACTGATATAAAATACTTGTTCTAAGGTTGGTCAAACACATCTATCAACAGGGCGCGGCGGCAGCCCAGCACAACCGTTCAAGCAAGGTTATATGTGCAGAAAGCTAATTTTCCACCATTTGATTAACAGCCGTAATTTTACTCAAGGTTTTGAGAATGATCTTAACTCTAAAAATGCCCAGCTGAAGATAAACGTCAGAGGTGCCAGTGTTCACCTGAAAGCCTCTCGCCCACGGCCACGCGTGCTCTGTGTTGTTCTTCAGGCTGCAGACACCACTGACAGCAACGTCTTGTTTTAATATGCCGGTGATTTCTACTATAGAATTCAGGACATACATAATTACGTCCTTCAGAGGGACAGAACCTACGGCCTTTCCATGCATATGCAGTAATGATGGACAAATCAGGAACAGCTCATTTGATATATACCATTTCTTCCTCAGGGAGAGGATTTGTAAGCTGTTCGTGACATCCCTTTGCCAGCATTTCAGACAGACTTGTGGATAACTACTCCACTGAACAGTGTTACCTCAGCAAACTGCTCTCGAGTTGCTGTCCTTTCAAATCAGCATTTTAAAAATGGGGGGGTGGGGGGATATGATATCACTTGCATTTGTTAGTCAGGTGAAGTATCGCTGCAACATGATATTCTACTGAATGTAAATGAATCTAAGCAGCAAAAGCAGAATAAATAAAGGCTCTCTGCAGACATCTTGGACATCTCCACTGGTTCGATACTCAAGGGCACCATGGTCTGAAATTTATACCTATGCAGTTCTGTCCTGAGCAAGAGGCAGTCTAAAAACTTGCCACAGTATTTTTAAATAGACCATGCCAGATTTATGTTTCACAAAAGATCTGCTGTAAAATACAAAGCCTAGAGAATTAGCTCAGCCCCCTCCCTGTCCCCAGGAAAACCAAAGAAAAAACCCAACAGGGAAAACTTTTTGAACTGGAGGTTGCTGCAAATGATTTATCACAGTTCTCTTGGTACCCATAGTCCTTACACTGAAGAGCACCCGTGCCTGGTTTTCCTACAGCAGGGTCTGCAGTTTGACCAGTTGGGGACCGAGCACAGGTCCTCTGGTGCCTCAATGGCCCTTCAGCAGCACAAGGTCACCACTAACTGTGACCAGTCTGCGCTACTGACACAGAAAGGATGTCATCCAACAATCCCCGAGTCACTTCAGCTATCATTCTTATTTGTTCCTCTACCAAAAAATCCTGCCAGCAAAATCCTCTTGCTGCATGAATTATAAGCATCAAACAGAAAGGAGCTGTTTCCCAGCAGCTTTCACACATTTCTCTCTCAACAAGGACTTTCGGCAGAGCACTAACTCACTGGCTGCACAGGAATCAAAAACTATTATCTTGGGGCAAGCCCAAAACCATGTTCCTTTTGCAACTTTCCTTTTACTTGCTGACACTGAATCTGACTCCCAGATTTAGCACAAAGCCTTTTCTTTGCATCTTTGCAGCGTTTCATGCTAGCTGGGCTTTGTTTTTAAATACTGTCTTAGAAGTCCTGAAGCTTGTGCCAAACAGGAACCCTCCATCTCCAGGGAGGGGATGCGGTTGTTCTATCACCATCTTCTAAATGCATAGATGTACCCTGACTTCTGGAACAAAACTGGAATATATATGGCATTGCTGAGATGGGGTTATTTTCGGTGAAAGTGTCTGAACAGTTTTGCAGGAGGAGGATATTTTCAAGTCTTGATACTACAGCAAATCTCACAAATAGA